AACACAGAGGGAGAGAGGAGAGACACTCTTTCAAGCGAGAGGACTTGTGTTGGCGTGGGGGAGGACAGCAGGTGCCCGGATGGCTGCCAGCACGCCTGCGCAGAGGAGGGGCACTGTCTGAGAGAAGGGGGCAGGGGTAGAGGCAAATGATAGACGGGGGAAAGCCTGGGAAGAAGAGCTAGCCTGGCCAATAGGAAGTGAAATGCCTGCCCCTGGGAGCGTTGGAGAGGGGAGAAGCCATTTTGGGAGTAGTGAGAGCTGGTATGTCCCAGGCCTGCATGCAGGGTCCCTCTGAGAACTGGCCTCTGGGGACCTGGAAGCAACATCCCTCAGCTTGGCTCTTTCCTTCTTCAAGGTGACTCCCAGTTTGTAGAGTTTTGTTGGGGAACCTCCCTCCCCCAGCCTGGCTGAGTTAGCCCCCCAGTTCCCTAGGTAAAATCAGCCACCACATGGCCAGGGCTGCCACCTGCTGGGAGTGTGTCTGAGTGCTGGGGAAGGAGACTAAAGTTAGGGTTTGTAGCAGTGTCATTGTAACCTGCACCTTGAGCCCTGCACCCCTTGGTGGTGAGGGAGTCCTGGCCTGTGGAAGGACAGGTGACACGTTAGGCACTGAAATAAGTTGTAACTTAATTTTAATTTTTGTTCCTCTCTGAGATCCTCTTAGCACTAGAGTCATCCCAGAAAGTTGTTATTTGTGTTACTGTAGTGCCTCTGAGCCCACTCATGGATCCGTTGCACTAGGCAGTTTACGAACCCAGAGCAAAAATACAGTCTCTGCCCCAAGGAATTTACAGTCTGTAAGACAAGAGACAACAGATGGATTCAGACAGACTGGGGAGTACAAGGTGGTATCAGCACCCTAATCGCTTAACCACTGTCAAGTTTTTTGTAGACAACACAGCAAAGCAGAGTTTGAAAGAGGAGTTTGAAAGAGGGGTTTGAAGGAGGCAGATGAGTTAGTTTTGGGGATGCTTCTCCCTGGTGTGAGGGGCAGCATGGGAGAAAGGATGCAGGGGCTTGTTTGAAAATTTAACAAGTGAGCAAAGGAGGCTGGCATCACAGGACAATTGGTGATGGGAGTTGAGATTTTGATGGTGAATGAGAGATGATAGGTAGGGTGGGGATTGACTGTGAAGGGCCTTGAGAGCGAAGACAAGCAGCTTATATTTGTGCAGTAGAGAAGAGCAAGCCAGTGGAGGGATGCAACTGTAAGTGGGGGAATGTACTGCTATTGTGGGAAACTTTCCTGGCTTATACACTACCCTGGGGAAATGGGCTAGCGAAAGGATCTGAGTCCTCGCTCCTACTTCCTTTACTCAGAGGCCTGCCTGATGTTGAGGGCTCCCCTTCCACTCTCCTGTGTGACAGAGTCCTCGTAACCCAAACAAGGCTGGGCCCAGGATTCCTGGGTGGCTCGACCTCCAACCCTGCTGTGGTCACCTAGGACAGGGGCTAGGTTGTCCCCACTCCGGGGTACTCTCTCTTCACTGAGGGCTTCCCTGACCCACTGATCATTAAATACAGTTCAAGCAAATACAATTTATTAAACAGCAATCAATTAAAAAAAATAAGGAAAAAATGGGAAAGGTTAAAGGAAAACCTGTCACCCTGCCCTGTGGCAGGGAATATCACAACCAGCGTCTCTGGGATATCAGGGCAGTTCACAGTCTGTTCCTCACAAGTCCCAGGCCTCCTGCCCAGGCCCTGGCTGTGCTGCAGGGATGCCGTGGGTCGGACACTTGCTCTGGTGGTGGCCACACGCCCTCAGGCTCTAGGTGGCAGGACCCTTCTTCCCAGCATCAGCCCCCCCAGTCTGGGATTACAGGCCCCCTCCCAGTCTCGCTTGCAAGGCCTCTTGGCTGGGGGCATCTCTCTGTGCTGGGCCCACTGCCCAGGGTCCCCCCTTGTTCTCCCCAGCTGCTCATTGCACCTGGCTTCGGACTACTCCAGCTCCAGCCCCAACTCCAGCCCCAGCACTGCTGCTGCTCTGCCTCCTGCTCCCTGGGCTGCTTCTCTCACCCCTCTGGCTCTGGTTGCTGCAGCTCTGCTCCCAGCACAGGTCTGCTCTCTGGGCTGCTTCTGTGGCTCTGCTCCCAGCACAGGTCTGCTCCCTGGGCTGCTTCTCTGGTTCTCTCTGGTTGGCGCAGCCCTGCTTCCCCACTCAGCTCAGGCCCCTGCTCTCTCCTTAGCTCAGCCCCAATCTGTTCCAGGCAATTCAGAACCCCCGCGACTCCATCATTAGCTTGCCTGCCCTGTCAATCAGGCTGACCTGGAGCATTGGTCTCTCCCCATTGTTCCTGGGGACTCTCAGTCTCAAGGTCCTGATTTCCTGTCGACCCTTCCCCTTCCTTTTGGTACTGGGAGCTAGCCAACCAAAAACCCCCACTGCTTTTTAGTAAGGGGCCAACAGTCCCTTACACAAAGAGAGGGGTGACATGGTCAAAGCCGCAGGCTAAGAGAATGAGCTGCGTAGCAGCAATCTCAACGGATATCAGTGGGGCATCATCCCTAATGGCAGACTCATTGCAAATGCTGCATATCCCTAGTATGTGAGGTGCCAAAGAATGTTGCATTCTCGGATATCCATAACCAATCAGCAAGTACCAGGCAGGATGTTTCTGGGAAAGCCCAGGGGCTATTTAGGCCCTGTCTCCTGAACTTTTACCGAAAGCTGCTGTTATTATTGGTATTGATTTTACTTCTCTCTTCTCTCTTTGCAATCTCCCAGGGCAACCTAAAAACCCCCATAAATAATGAATACAGCAGCAAAAGTCTCTCTCATTGTGAGAATTGCTCATATCCCCAGCTCTTCAGACTGGGTACCACGTGATCCAAAGTTAACAAAGCTAACCAAAGAAACAAAGCAAGGAGGTGGAAAATCGTGCCAAAGCTCAGTGTGGAAAGCAAGGCGTGCACCTGACTTACTCCTAAAACATGAACTCACCAGCATCCCTGTCATAAAAATAAAGGGAAGGGTAAACCCCTTTAAAATCCCTCCTGGCCAGAGGAAAATCCTCTTACCTGTAAAGGGTTAAGAAGCTAAAGGTAACCTCGCTGGCACCTGACCAAAATAACCAATAAGTAGAAAAGATACGTTCAAAAGCTGGGAGGAGGGAGAAAAACAAAGGGTCTGCGTCTGTCTGTATGCTGCTTTTGCCGGGGACAGAACAGGAATGGAGTCTTAGAACTTTTAGTAAGTAATCTAGCTAGGTATGTGTTAGATTATGATTTCTTTAAATGGCTGAGAAAAGAGCTGTGCTGAATAGAATGACTATTCCTGTCTGTGTGTCTTTTTTGTAACTTAAGGTTTTGCCCAGAGGGATTCTCTATGTTTTGAGTCTAATTACCCTGTAAGGTATCTACCATCCTGATTTTACAGAGTTGATTTCTTTACTTCTATTAAAAGTCTTCTTGTAAGAAAACTGAATGCTTTTTCATTGTTTTAAGATCCAAGGGTTTGGGTCTGTGGTCACCTATGCAAATTGGTGAGGATTTTTACCAAACCTTCCCCAGGAAGTGGGGTGCAAGGGTTGGGAGGATTTTGGGGGGAAAGACGTGTCCAAACTACGTTTTCCCAGTAAACCCAGATAAAGTTTGGTGGTGGCAGTGGAAATCCAAGAGTAAAATAATTTTGTACCTTGGGGAAGTTTTAACCTAAGCTGGTAAAAGTAAGCTTAGGAGGTTTTCATGCAGGTCCCCACATCTGTACCCTAGAGTTCAGAGTTGGGAAGGAACCTTGACAATCCCCTTCAGCCCCCTTGGTCATCTGTCCTGTGCACTGAATGAGGGGGGTCTTGTGGATAACACAGTATGTGATCATGTAATTGAAGACTTTATTGTAATGTATGTGGGTTGCTCAGGCAAGAGAATGAGGGTGGCACAGGCAGCCATAAATCTGGCATTTCCTAACTTCGGTGTGCTTGGATAAAGAACGTTCTTTTAATGTCGTTCTCGTATGTAATTTTTTAGTTTTTTATTAAGGACAAAGGTAAAAAAACATTTCCATTGCATGCCTGTAATACCCCACCCCTCCATCATTTATAGGGTTTGAACCCCAAGACTTCAGTTCTGCAACACAGCCTGTTACCACTTGAGCTGCAGGACTAACTACAGTACATGGCAGAAGGAGGAAGTGTGGGCCATTGGCAGCATGTGCTGGGTTCATAGGGTGGTCACAGGCAGTCTGATGCCACTCACTCTCTTTCCCACCCAGGAAGGTGGGGGCTCCTACCCTGTGTGGGCCCGCAAGGAGTGGGAGAGTTGTTTGGGACGTGTACTAGGTCCGGGGGTTTATGGGTGGAGCCTGGCTTTGCATTCTCCTGCCAGCTCTGGAAGATGAGGGAGCTCCTGCCCCATACAATTCCCCCAGAGGGGGGCTGGGATGCTGGGTCCCATGTGCCAGGTTGGAGAGGGCAGGGAAGAGGCTCAGGGGATCAGCCTGGATCTCTCCACCCTGGCAGCTGACTGGGGTTCTCCATGCACGTTACTGCTGCTGTTTTGGTTGTGGTGTGAGCCCAGCCTGGGAATGTTCAGTGATTTTGGCAGCCTGCTGACATTTTCCTGAAGGGAAAGAAGGGAGAGAAGGAAAAAATGGTGATTTTTAACCCTTCATGTCTTGACCAAATCTGAATAGAATTTCACAGGATAAAGAAAAGGAACTTCTCTATCCTGAAGGGATTTTCCCTGTCAAATATCACAGGCCTGTTGCAGACAGTGGAGGCGAGAGAGCTTCTCAAAGAAAGGTTACAAGAATCCTTTTATAATAGAAAGTGTTACAACCTAAATATAGGGGTCACCACCAACTTCAGTAATAATTAATAATTAATAAATTAATAACAACAACAGTTGTTGTGATACATATATTCCAATCAGGACTTGGGGTCCCATTGTGCTGGGTTTACATCTGTGTATTACAATCCCTCTGAGATGGCCCAATGACCTATCTGGCGGTGGGAACCTGTTGTGTCTGAATGGAAGAGGATGTTGTTGGCTCATTGCAGGAATGGACTGACCATAAGTTGTGCTGGAATCCTGAGGACTATGGTGGGATCACGGCGATCCGGGTTCCGTCAGAGTCGCTGTGGCTCCCGGACATTGTTTTGTTTGAAAAGTGAGTATAAGGCTCATCACGTTTTGAAGCAAGGCTCATTGCTCAGGGTTTCAGATAGTTGTTTAGACTTATTCAGTGAATCACTAACATTCAGTTCCAGCCATGCTGGCTAGCACCGGGCTTAACCATGGATCTCGTTAGATAGCGACTATCCAGAAATGTGTCTGGACTAGAATGCTTGCTGGCTTAGATTGCTCCATATAATGTCATATACTCTGCCTGGGGTTACATGTTGGGACCACTTAGGAACTGAAGCTGGTGCAGAGTGGAGCTGGACACTGGGAGCGCATTAAATCAGTGCTCTGTGATCTGCACTGGCTTCCAGTAAGGTTTGGGGTGGGATTCAAAGGCCTGAATAGCTTGGGACAGGATTGCCGGAGAGAGATCCTCTCCTTGTGATATACTGCCCCCGCTGAGATCAGCGGAGGCGCTTGAGCTGGATGGAGCTCCCACAGTGTAAGCAAGAGGGAGCTGCTGGCCAGGCATTCTGTCTGAGGGGTCCTCCATTTCAGAACTTGCTCCCCGCATTGGCCTGCCAGAGCCCAGATTTGTTAACTTTCCAGGCAGGCTGCACAGCCCGTCTTTCCCTTCTCTTCCCTAAGATTGGTGAACAGGGAGTGTGCTGAGATGGATTTGTCTAGGGACACAGTCCTTTGTCTATGTCCATATTACGCACTGGACAGGCGTGCCTAGAATTCTGTTTTACAAATTCAAAGAAATAAAAGAATGAAACTCTGGGGCAGTTTGGATTCAGACCTGCACTTTGTGGTTCTGGCCTGGGCCTGATGTGTCATTGTTAATCCAATCACACCTGATCCTGGGGAGCGTTCAGATCCAGATCTGAACTCTGGGAGTTTGACATTATTTGCATCCGTGGAGAACACAGGTCACAGCTGGGTACTACCAGCCTGTTGCTAGGAGCAGAGTCTGTAGCATCTCTCCACTACTCCCAGTTGGCCTCATGTGGCAGAGGGGAGATAGAATAGATGATCCCTGTGGTACTCTGCCAGGGAGGGTTTTTGGAGAAAAGGAGCAATTGCCCATCCCCACTCTCTGGATCAGCTGCTGTGTGAGGCAGGACTCTCCCCTTACTCCCACTTTGCCCAGGTCTTGTCTTGCAAGTGCACAGGGGCAAAACACCAGGCAGAATTTGGTTCATGTTACTTAAAGGTGCTACAAAACTTCACAGTGTTTCCCTGGCCTCCTAGGTGCCTTCTGTAGACAGTAGAATTAAACAGTTTGTTTGGAGCATGTTTTTGTTCCTTCTCTGCATTCCAGCTACCATGTTACCCTGAAACTTGCACAGAGGAAATCTCCATAGTAGGGAGTGGTTCTGGAGGGAGCAAAATAAGTACACAAAAGAGACAGGTGCAGATGAGATCAGCACATTCTGTTATACCCTATTGACCATCTCCAGTGTGCAGTAGAGCTTAGTAGTGCATCGTGCACTAGCCTAGGCCTTGATCCAGCAAAGCACTTAAACATGGGCTCAACTTTTCTATTATTATTATTTATTGCACACAAAAAAGACATTAAAAACACTAAGGCTGCAAAGTCAACCCCTTCAGTTAGAAATTGCCAGAATGAAGGTTGTCCATGCCACTGTAACAGGGCCCTATTGTGAGTCTGCTTTTTTGATAGTCCATTAATTACATGATCACAAACTATTTTTTCCCCACAGGACCCCTGCATCCTTCAGTGACTTTGCAACTTTAACACTCTTTTAACATAGTTTTGCGTGTAATTTTCTGTTTTCAAAAAACAAATAAAAAAAACAGAAAATCCATCACATGGAACCATATTGACACCCACAGGAACATCAGCAGGTTGAAATCTTTAGTTCCACTGCATGGACCTCTGCCACTTGAGATAACAGAGGAACTGATAGCAGTAGTAGGTTGTCATTCTCTGTGAGGAGCAGCCACTGGGGGAGGCAGGTGTGAGACAGACATTTTCCCAGTGGTTTTCACAGCTATTTGCTGACAGTTGAGGAATATTGAGACTCAGGAATAATTAGTTCCATTCAGGTTCTGGAGGAAAGGACTAGATCACCTCCTGAGGTCTCTTCCAACCTAATCTTCTATGATTCTATGATTCTAGTGCTCCCAGACCCTTCTGCCTCTGTCTCACCCAGCCACTCCCTATCCTGCGTCTCCCTCCCCACCCTGGCTCCTTGTCCCAGTTCTAGTCTCCTCACCCAGCCAGTCCCATATCCCCTCCTCCCCCCTGATTACTCATCCCAGTCCCAGTTTCCTTGCCCAGCCAATCCCAGTCTTCCCCTCTGGGGTTTCTGTCTGAGTCCCAGTCTTCCCCCTCCCTGACTCTGTATCCCAGTCTCTGACCAGGCACCTCGTCCCGGGATCTTTGCCTCATTCTCCTTGCTCAGCAAGTGCCAGTGTCTCTCCCACCCCAGCCTCCTCATCCAATCTCCCTGCATTTCCAGCTCTTGTTCCTTCTGTGTTCAACTCAGGCTGTTTCATCCTTCACTCTGCATGGCCCAACAGGGGGTGTGGGCACCAGAGAGACAATCCCCCTATTTTCACTTCTGGTGCCTGGCACCACAATGCTCTGCAGCACCCAGGAGCAGTGACTTCAAGAAAAGTTCTCGTGAGCCCCTGCAGCCTTTGGCTGGAGCATGCTCAGTTCAGACAGAATCTTCAGAGAATTTCTCAGCCAAGCTCTAACAAGTCTGTACTGAGCATGTGCAAACTGATATTTTTCAAAGGCTCATAACCAAAAGTGGACAGTTTTTTAACAGGAATAGCAAAGGCACATCCCTGATGCAAAGGCCATACCCCTACCAAATTTCAACTGCCTGCTCCACAGCATGGAGATGCTAGATTCTCAACACAGGCAAAACAACCTGTTTGTTGCTAATATAATTCTTGGGAATGGCTGAGCCATTTTAGCTGAAATTTTCCCAGAAATGTCAGCTGGCCTGGAAAATTTCAGCCTGAATGGTCAAAGTTTGGCAAAGTTATAAGCAACTGAAAACAGGGTCTTACATTGGGAAGTATCAAGCAACCTTAATAATAGGAAGCCCTACCAGGTCTGCCTATAATATTTACCATAGAACTACCTACCTGCCAACATATCAAGTGGCTGAAACGAGGTGAGTCCTGCCCCGAGAAGTGGGAGGCCTGATGAGGGGGAGTAGGAGAGTGAGCCCGCCTCACACTCACCTCACAACAGCAGCTCCTGTGGCTCTTGTTCTGTGGGGCTGGTTGGCTTGGCTGCTCACTCTAAGCATTGCAACCTGGTCCCTGGTGCACAAGGGTACAGTGCCACTCAGCTTTGGCCCAGCCCTCCAACGAGGGGTGTGGCTGGGCCAAATTTGAGGGAGTGATGCAGTGAGCCTGTGCACCAGGTTGCAACGTCTGGAGTAGGGAGCCAAGCGCAGCCATCCTCAGGGGGACAGAAACTGCTTCAGCCAGTACATGGGGCTTTGGAGGTCAAAGTGGGACTCTATAAACAGGAGAGTACTCAGTAGGGAGGTGATTTTACCGCTGCATGCAGCACTGGTGAGACCAGTGTAAGAACACTGCATCCAGTTCTGGTGTCAATGTTTTTAAAAGGATATTGTAAAATGGGAGAGGGTGCAGAGAAGCCACAAAAATGATCTGAAGGCTGGAGAAAATGCCTAACAGATTTAAAGAACTCCATCTGTTTTGCTTATCAGAAAATAATATTGAGGACTTGATTACAGTATACACAATACCTGCAAGGGGAGAAAATCCCAGGTACTACAGGGCTCTTTAATCTAGAAAAGAGAGGCATAACAAGAACCAGTTGCTGAAAGCTGAAGCCAGACAAATTCAAATTAGAAACACGGCACAGTGTTTTACCAGAGATGGTAATTAACCATAGGAACCAACTACCAAGGGAAGAGGTAGATTCTCCATCGCTTGATGTCATCTAATCAAGACTGGGTGCCTTTCTGGAAGATAAGTCTTAGCCAAACACAAGTTACTGGGCTCAGTGTAGGGATAAGGTGGTAAAATGTAATGGTCTGTGATATACAGGAGGTCAGATGAGGTGATCTAATTTTTCCTTCTGTCCTTAAACTCTATGAATCTGTGAAGGATCTCAAAGTCCCACAAAACCTAGGACTATTGGGAGGTATGGAATTACTGATCCCAACTAAGTTCAGAGCCCCATTGTGCTAGGTGCTGTGTGAACACAGTGAGAGACAGTCCTTGCTGTGAAGAGCTTGCATAGTTACAGACAGCTGATGCTGGTCACCGGAGCTGGCAGTAGAATCAATGTCTCCTGACTTCCAGTCCCATGATTTATCTACTAGTTCATGCTGCCCCCCAGTGTCAGGCACCTGAATAGTTCCACTGACCACTGGGCCATAGTTCATGTGGGGGCATCACATGGAGAGAGACCTGGGGAGTCTAGAAGTTGAGATCTGCTAAACAAGGAAAAGAGTAGCACTTTATAAAGCCCAGGGCTGCCATGACCCTCATCATCTGAAGGATTCCTCCCAGATTTCTAAAGCGGCTGGGATTTATGGAATTCTTTGCCCAATACTTGTACTGTGTCAATGCTCGCACATCTCAAAGGAATAGAAAACAGAACTGGAATCAGAAAATCCAAATGACTGAACTGGGTCTGGTGAAAAACTGAAACTGATCCTGTTTCTCCTCTCCCCAGTGCCGATGGACGTTTTGAAGGCTCCCTGATGACCAAAGCCATAGTGAAATACAATGGGCTTGTTACCTGGACTCCACCAGCCAGTTATAAGAGTTCCTGCACTATGGATGTGACGTTTTTCCCATTCGATAGACAGAATTGTTCCATGAAATTTGGATCCTGGACCTATGATGGCAACATGGTTGACTTGATTTTAGTAGATGAAAATGTTGATAGGAAAGACTTCTTTGATAATGGAGAGTGGGAAATCCTAAATGCCAAAGGCATGAAAGGCAGCAGAAAGGATGGGTTGCATTCCTACCCATTCATTACTTACTCCTTCGTTTTAAGACGCCTCCCACTCTTTTACACTCTTTTCCTAATCGTCCCTTGCCTTGGATTATCTTTTCTAACTGTGCTGGTGTTCTATTTGCCTTCTGATGAAGGGGAAAAACTTTCATTATCTACATCCGTTTTAGTCTCCCTTACCGTTTTTCTTTTAGTAATTGAAGAAATAATACCATCTTCTTCCAAAGTCATTCCTCTGATTGGCGAGTATTTGTTGTTTATTATGATTTTTGTAACCCTATCAATTATTGTTACTGTTTTCGTTATTAACGTGCACCATCGGTCCTCAGCAACCTACCATCCTATGGCTCCCTGGGTTAAAAGACTCTTCCTTCAAAAGCTTCCTAGGCTATTATGCATGAAGGGCCATGTGGACCGCTATTCCTTTTCAGAGGCTGGAGGAACTATCCCAGTGTCAAAATCAAAGATCTTGGGCAAAAAGAAACAGAAACAAGTCAAGGATGGAGAAAAAATTGTGATTGCTTTTTTGGAAAAAGCTGCTGATTCTATTAGATACATCTCTGGCCATGTAAAAAAGGAGCATTTCATCAGGCAGGTAATGTTAACACGTGAAGAGTACATGGTTGTTCTAATAGAATGAAGATTTTTTTTCATCTACAGCCAGCATAGTTAAATAACTTGTCTTTTCTAATACCTACAAATAGGTTCTTTAGCCACCTAAATGCCTTGTATCTGTTTTACATCAGCATAGCTCCTCTGATTTCAGTGAAGGTATTCTTGATTTACACCAATGTGTCATATCAGAATCACACACTAAATATTAAGTATATTTGGCTCTCCAAACTTTTTTGCCCCAATTATCTAGCTGTCTGTTATGATGTTCATTTAAAAAAATGAACATAGAAGTGGAAATAACATGGAATTTCCAAAATATATGATTTTGTGGGGTGATGTATAGAGACAAGTTATGAAAAAGAAATAGAGGTTTTGTTAGTACCATGCTGAAAGGAGCTGTTTGTTGTAGCTACTTCCAATCAGTGGTAAATAATTAATTGTATCCTTTGTTCTGAAGCTTCAGTTCTGAGAGTCTGTTTCCATCTAGCTTTTAGCAGTGGATCAAAGCAATCTGGCCCCAAGATATAGAGAGTTATTATTCTTTTTAAAATTTCCCTGATAACTTCAGAAGATCACTGTGATAGTAGAAATGCAGGTTATGGACAGAGTGGGTTGAAGTGTTTTGAATGATAAAACCAAAAAAGGAAAAACACCAAAAATTTTCAGTTACAAAAAAAGTGATTTTTTTTTAAATGAATATTGTTTTCAAAAAACTTCAAAAGAAAAATGTGTCCGAGATGTTTATGAATTTGTATTTGTTTGCTCCTTGGCCGGCCCTAGGAAGGGCATGGGAAACGCTCACAGATCCCCTGCCAGATAGCTACAATGGCTACCCTTAGCCTGAAGAAAGCTATTCAATTCATCTGAATAGTATTAAGGGGAACTTACTCAGGGAAAGCTCCCTTCTAAGCGAATGTGGGCTCTGCCAGCATGCACGTTGCAGGCTCAGGTCATTAGTTACCACAAAAATTCTGAGGACTCAGTCTTGAGCTTCTTTATGCATTAAGCATCTGCTACTTCCCTGCATATATGAGCGGGGAGTGAATGGGCAAGGGAGGGAGTGGGTGGAACCAATGCTCTGGTCCCACACCAGGTATGCTGTGTTAATGAAAGTGCCCAGTAGAGAAAAGTCCATGTATGACTCTTCCTCTAAAGCTGTACAAAATTGTCTGGGAATCTTATATATATGCTCGCAGCTTAGCCACTTCATCCTGCCACCTCAGTATCTGACAGTCCCAAATGTACAAGAAAAGAGCAGGTTCGGGTAAGTCTCTCTCCCCAGTATCCTTTGCAGTGAAGACTGATGCAAAGAAATCATAGTGGGTATGTCTACACTGCAACCATGTCCGCTGACTTTGGCTCACAGGGCTAAAGCTGGACTCTGGCTCATGGGGTTCCAGGCCCCAGCCGGACGGAAACATATACACTGACATTTTATAGCCCTGCAGCCTGAGCTATGCAAACCGAAGTCAGCTGATCTAGGCCAGCCGCGGATTGCAGTGTAGACATAGCCTTAGTGTCTCAGCAACAACCTTGTCTTCCTTAACTGCTCCCTTTAGTCCATGGTGACCCAGTGGACCTACTGATTCTTTTTCAAGCATCTTGCTTCTGATATACATAAATAATATCTTGTTTGTTTTCATACATGTAGCTTTTTGCTCTTCACAATCCCTTTTAGCCTTTCTAATTTCCCTTTCACATATTCCCTCCTCAGCCTCAAGTTCGATTGGCTTCACAAGGGTCAGATTTCCAAATTTGGAAGGATTTCTTTTGGTTCAAATAGGCTCCCAAGCCCTGCCGGTTAGCCACGGCAATCAGCTTCTTTCCTTCCTGATTCCCTTTTGTTCCGGGCACTCACCCCTTCTGGCACTCTAGTATTGCTTCCATATGTGGCATCTCTGTGGTACCTAAGGGTTTTACTTTCTTTCCTTCTGACTGTGGGACCCTCTTGGCTAGCTGCCTCATTTTATAGAAATCACACAACCATACCTGCTCCTTCCCCAGAGTCAGGCTAGAACCTTGGCCTTTTAGTGCCAACCTCTACCACGTGAGCAGCCTCGTTTTACTGAAATCTCTCTTTCTATAAAAAGAAAAGGAGTACTTGTGGCACCTTAGAGACTAACCAACTTATTTGAGCATAAGTTTTCGTGAGCTACAGCTCACTTCATCGGATGCATACTGTGGAAAATACAGAAGACGTTTTTATACACACAGACCATGAAAAAATGGGTGTTTATCACTACAGATTTCAGAGTAACAGCCATGTTAGTCTGTATTCGCAAAAAGAAAAGGAGTACTTGTGGCACCTTAGAGACTAACAAATTTATTTGAGCATAAGCTTTTGTGAGCTACAGCTCACTTCATCGGACGCATACTGTGGAAAGTTTAGAAGATCTTATTATATACACACAAGGCATGAAAAAATACCTCCTCCCACCCCACTCTCCTGCCGGTAATAGCTTATCTAAAGTGATCACTCTCCTTACAATGTGTATGATAATCAAGGTGGGCCATTTCCAACACAAATCCAGGTTTTCTCACCCCTCCCCCCCCCCCACAAACTCACTCTCCTGCTGGTAATAGCTTATCCAAAGTGACTACTCTCCTTACATTGTGTATGATAATCATGTGTATGATTATTGTACACAATGTATATGATTATCATACACAATGTATATGAATGTATATTATCATACAATGTGTATGAACGCCTCAGACGTTCTTGTTAAACCCTGGATTTGTGCTGGAAATGGCCCACCTTGATTATCATACACATTGTAAGGAGAGTATTTTCCACGTATTTTCCACGTATTCTTCTGCAGTTTCCACAGTATGCATCCAATGAAGTGAGCTGTAGCTCACAAAAGCTTATGCTCAAATAAATTGGTTAGTCTCTAAGGTGCCACAAGTCCTCCTTTTCTTTTTGTGAATACAGACTAACACGGCTGTTACTCTGAAACCTCTCTTTCTATAGTGTCACTCTCACTCCCCCCATCCCCAAGCTAATCTGCATAGCTGTAAATGAAGTGTACATAGCAGTTAAGCTTGTTAAAGAGCTTGCTAGCCCTAGTGATTGAAGTCCTCTCTTTAGCTGCTGGACAATAGCAGGACAAGCTTCCCACAGCCAAACAGCCCTGCCAGCGTACCTCATTCAGGGAGGGAGGGGACTTTCTCTGAGGGCATCACCGTCATTCTTCCTGCCTCGCTACATGAACCAGGCACCAATCAACCCTGTCCTGCGCCCAGTTTTCCAGCTCTCTTACATTCAGATGTAAAAATGCCACAGCAGCCACTATTTTGCGGCAGAGCGTGGCTCCAGTTTGGCCTCTCGGTCTCTTGCCTGGAGGTCAGAAAGGCTTGTTTAGGCAGCCTGCTAGCAGATATTCTTAAAAGATGTCTCTTCTTTTGTACTCCTGGCATGGGTGTAAGCTGTTGGACCACTTAGGGTATGGCTACATGGCACATTAAGCTGGGGCTGTGACTCAGGTTTGAGCCCAAGCCCCCCTTCCATTCACAAACCAATCAGTCTGATTTGGGTCAGCAAGCACACGGGCCCTGAGTGGACCCTGCTGCAGCGTGGGTCAGAACCCGAGTGCTCCTGTGACTTGGGTCCAAGCCCTGTCATTTTGCAGCAGGGCACAGCTCCAGCCACAGGCCTGTGTCAGCCAGTCTGCATAGTGCCATATGGCCCTGTTAGCATGGCTCTGAGACCTGGGTCCAGCAACTGTAAACTCAGGTTTACAATGCAGTGTGGCTTTTCAAACGCAGGTTTGGAAACACTCAGTCCACAAGCCCGGTCTCAGAGACCTGGTTACAATACAGCATCGAATAGCCTGACCAGATAGCAAGTGTCAAAAATCGGGACAGGAGGTGGGGGTAATAGATGCCTGAGTGAGAAAAAGACCCAAAAACTGGGACTGTCCCTATAAAATTGGGACATCTGGTCACCCTAGCATAGACATACCTTGAATTACTTATTCTAGCTAAGGGTAGCAGGGTAGGTAATTTTCAGAAAAGGATCAGTTTTGGGTGTGCATGATTCTTTCTGATGACTAAGTTTCAGAGTGACTAGGTTGGCCAAACAAATGGTAACTAATGGACCAGAAAAAAGAAAAGGAGGACTTGTGGCACCTTAGAGACGAACAAATATATTTGAGCATAAGCTTTTGTGAGCTACAGCTCACTTCATCGGATGCATCTGATGAAGTGAGCTGTAGCTCACGAAAGCTTATGCTCAAATAAATTGGTTTGTCTCTAAGGTGCCACAAGTCCTCCTTTTCTTTTTGCAGATACAGACTAACACGGCTGCTATTCTGAAACCTGTCATAATGGACCAGAGTCACCAGTACCCTTTAGCACCTCTGTACCACTACTGAAACACAAAGCAGCCATAACCCTGCCAATTAAGGTGCATTTAGAAGAGCTGGAGCCTCTTGGTGACTCTGGCCCAATATCTGCAATGAGTTAAAAGGGGATCTACAGGAAAAACAATATTTTGCATTTTGATGTCTGTGTCCATGGTCACAGGCTCTCCGTGTGAAACTGGGAGGATAAAAACTTTCTCCTGGTTTGTTTTACATTAGGCATGCCGGGATGTGCCAGAACTTACAGCTGGGAATGCAAACTCCCATTTCTTCCTCAATGCACTGTGTGTTTTAGGCTCTGACCCAGCAAAGCACTCAAACCTAGTGAAGTAAATGGGACGGCTCACATTCGGAAAGCTCTGCCTGAGGCTTTGCTGGATTGATGGCAAAGTACTTGAGGGTGAATCTTTTAAAAAATTTTTATCAAACCATTTTAAGGCCCCAATCCTGTAAACACGTATACGTGTGCTTAATTTTAATCACTGCAGCACACTCATTGGAGTCAATGGGACTACTCAGGTAAGCATGTGCGTAAGTGTTTGACGGATTGGGGCCCAAGGGAACAATATTTATGGCATTGGCAACATTTGTTCAAAATTATAACTAGCTCAGACCATATTTTTAATTGTAATTTTTGCAGCTGAAATATATTGAAACTTGTAAGAAAAAGAACCAAGCTAATATTGTTGTTATTGTTTCTTCTAGGTAGTTCAAGACTGGAAATTTGTAGCTCAAGTCCTCGATCGGATCTTCCTGTGGTTATTTTTGGTGGTGTCAGTGACAGGTTCTGTTTTAATATTTACCCCCGCTTTACAGGCGTGGTTAAGCAGCAGTTTATAGGAATAAATTCATGTGTTAATGTGGAGAATGGCTGAAAGATACAGTTGCCCCTTGAGACTGATGGGTCTTTTAATTTTCAATGAGTGCAGGGTCGACAAAACCAAATTGAGATGGAAATGAAAATGCATTGCCTTCTGGCTGCAGTACATGATATTGATAATAATAATTATGCTTCTCACTTGAATAGTGCTTTACATCTGCAAATTGCTGTACAACTTGAGGGCTCAATTGTGTAGCCCTTAGGTTGCTGGGTATTTACTTGCCCATTGAAATCAATGAAACTACTTGTGCGTGTAAGTGTTCATTAATGTGAGCAAGGTTTGCACAACTGGGCCCTAACTAATTAATCCTATAAAGGCTGATTATATTACAATATGATTTCATGATTTTTTTTTTGAAAGGTGACTGTTTCTTTTTGATCCAAATAGTCTGTTAACAAATGGGATCCTCATGTATTAAATATGCTACGTTCAAAGAAAAATTAAATAGTCTAGGAATACACAGGGCACTGATGCGCTAAGGTTTTGTCAGTCCACCTTGTTATCTTTAAGTGTAATAAGCACAGCTGTTTTATATACCTATCTAGGTGTTCCATAACCGGCTATTACAAGGTGTGTGTTTGTGCATTAGAAAATATAAACATGTTACAGGTGGGATTTTCCAAAGTGCTCTGCTTTGGCATAACTCTGCTCCCATTGAAGTCACTAGAATATAAACCCTAGGATTAGCAGGTTTGTGGGGACAGAATGTCTTAACTCCCCCTAGAAGAACTGAGGGCATACTCTTACCTCCTTCCAGATTATTTGCATACCTTGGTTTCTGTCTCCCCCATGGTAAATGAGGAAAATTGTGGGCCTGTACTGGCTGGCAGGTATAATTTGCATTTATGTCAGGAGGCATTCCCAAAGCTGTGCAATCTGAGTTTGCTCATGTTCCAGACTTACAAACTGTGATACATTTTCTATGTAATTTCAGGTACATGAAAGCAAGGGTTAAGTGTAACAAGACCTTCTGGGGTCCCTTCCAACCCTTATATTCTATGATTCTATGATTCTATAAGACTGAGAGTCTGGGAGAATAACATGAGGGGGAAAGGAGTCCAGGAGAGCTGGCTGTATTTTAAAGGATTCTTATTGAGGTTACAGGGACAAACCATCCCGATGTGTAGAAAGAATAGTAAATATGGTAGGTGACCAGCTTGGCTTAACAGTGAAATCCTTGCTGATCTTAAACACAAAAAAGAGGCTTACAAGAAGTGGAAGATTGGACAAATGACCAGGGATGAGTATATAAATATTGCTCGGGCATGTAGGAATGAAATCAGGAAGGCTAAATCACACCTGGAGTTGCAGCTAGCGAGGGATGTTAAGAGTAACAAGAAGGGTTTCTTCAGGTATGTTGGCAATAAGAAGAAAGCCAAGGAAAGTGTGGGCCCCTTACTAAATGAGGGAGGCAACCTAGTGACAGAGGATGTGGAAAAAGCTAATGTACTCAATGATTTTTTTGCCTCTGTCTTCACGAACAAGGTAAGCTCCCAGACTACTGCACTGGGCAGCACAGCATGGGGAGGAGGTGGCCAGCCCTCCGTGAAGGAAGAAGTGTTTCGGGACTATTTAGAAAAACTGGACGTGCACAAGTCCATGGGGCCGGATGCGTTGCATCCGAGAGTGCTAAAGGAATTGGCAGATGTGATTGCAGAGCATTTGGCCATTATCTTTGAAAACTCATGGCGATCAGGGGAAGTCCCGGAAGACTGGAAAAAGGCTAATGTAGTGCCCATCTTTAAAAAAGGGAAGAAGGATGATCCTGGGAACTACAGGCCAGTCAGCCTCACCTCAGTCCCTGGAAAAATCATGGAGCATGTCCTCAAGGAATCAATTCTGAAGCACTTAGAGGAGAGGAAAGTGATCAGGAACAGTCAGCATGGATTCACCAAGGGCAAGTCATGCCTGACGAATCTAATTGCCTTCTATGATGAGATAACTGGTTCTGTGGATGAAGGGAAAGCAGTGGACGTGTTATTCCTCGACTTTAGCAAAGCTTTTGACACGGTCTCCCACAGTATTCTTGCCAGCAAGTTAAAGAAGTATGGGCTGGATGAATGCACTATAAGGTGGGTAGAAAGTTGGCTAGATTGTCGGGCTCAACGGGTAGTGATCAATGGCTCCATGTCTAGTTGGCAGCCGGTATCTAGCGGAGTGCCCAAGGGTCGGTCCTCGGGCTGGTTTTGTTCAATATCTTCATTAATGATCTGGAGGATGGTGTGGATTGCACTCTCAGCAAGTTTGCAGATGACACTAAACTGGGAGGAGTGGTAGATACGCTGGAGGGTAGGGATAGGATACAGAGGGACCTAGAGAAATTGGAGGATTGGGCCAAAAGACATCTGATGAGGGTCAACAAGGACAAGTGCAAAGTCCTGCACTTAGGACGGAAGAATCCAATGAACCGCTACAGACTAGGGACTGAATGGCTAAGCAGCAGTTCTGCAGAGAAGGACCTAGGGGTGACAGTGGACGAGAAGCTGGATATGAGTCAACAGTGTGCCCTTGTTGCCAAGAAGGCCAATGGCATTTTGGGGTGTATAAGTAGGGGCATTGCCAGCAGATCGAGGGACGTGATCGTTCCCCTCTATTCGACATTGGTGAAGCCTCATCTGCAGTACTGTGTCCAGTTTTGGGCCCCACATTACAAGAAGGATGTGGAGAAATTGGAGAGAGTCCAGCGAAGGGCAACAAAAATGATTAGGGTTCTGGAACACATGAGTTATGAGGAGAGGCTGAGGGAACTGGGATTGTTTAGTCTACAGAAGAGAAGAATGAGGGGGGATTTGATATCTGCTTTTAACTACCTGAAAGGTGGATCCAAAGAGGATGGATCTAGACTATTCTCAATGATAACAGATGACAGGACAAGGAGTAATGGTCTCAAGTTGCAGTGGGGGAGGTTTAGGTTGGTTATTAGGAAAAACGTTTTCACTAGGAGGGTGGTGAAACACTGGAATGCGTTACCTAGGGAGGTGGTGGAATCTCCTTCCTTAGAAGTTTTTAAGGTCAGGCTTGAGAAAGCCCTGGCTGGGATGATTTATTTGGGATTGGTCCTGCTCTGGGCAGGGGGTTGGACTAGATGGCCTCCAGAGGTCCCTTCCAACTCTGTTATTCTATGATTCTATGATTCTGTGAAGACATGGGGATTATCCAGTGGGGAAAATGGGCCATTTTCATCTGAATCATAGAAATGTGGGGCTGTAAGGGACCATGAGAGGTTATCTAGTCCATCCTGCTGCTCTGAGACAGGACCAAGTAAACCTAGACCATCCCTGACAGGTGTTTGTTTAGCCTGTTCTTAAAAACCTGTAATTATGGAGATTCCACAACGTCCTTTGGGAGCCTATTCCAGAACTTAACTGTCCTTATAGTTAGAAAGTTTTTCCTAATATCCAACCTAAATCTCCTTTGCTGCAGATTAAGACTATTACTTATTGTCCTACCTTCATTGGGCATGGAGAACAATTGATCACCACCCTCTTTGTACCAGTTCTTAACATATTTGAAGACTATTATCAGGTTCCCCCCACACTCTTCTTTTCTCAAGACTAAACATGCCCAGTTTTTTAAATCTTTCCCCATAGGTCACATTTTCTAAATCTTTTATCATTTTTGTTGCTCTCCTTTGGAATCCAGTTTATCCACATCTTTCCTAAAGTGTGGTGCCCAGAACTGGACACAGTTCTCCAGCTGAGGCCTCACCAGTGCCGAGTAGAATGGGACAATTAGCTCCTGTGTCTTATTCACGATACTCCTATAAATACACCCCAGAATTATATTCACTTTTTTTGCACTGCATCACATTGTAGTCTCATATTCAATTTGTGATCCATTGTAACCCCCAGATCCTTTTTTGCAGTACTGCCACCTAGCTAGTTATTCCCTAATTTGTAGCGGTGCATTTGATTTTTCCTTCCTAAGTGAAGTACTCTGCACTTGTCTTTATTGAATTTCATCTTGTTGATTTCAGACCAATTATTCAATTTCTCAAGGCCATTTTGAATTCTAATCCTGTCCTCCAAAGTGCTTGCAATCCCTCCCATCTTGGTGTCGCCGTCAAATTTTATAAACATTCTCCACTCCATTATCCAAGACATTAATGAAAATAATGAATAATGCTGGACTCGGGACTGACCCTGGCAGGACTCTACTAGGTTCATCCTCACAGTTTGACAGCGAAGCACTGATAGCTACTTTTTGAGTATGGTGTTTCAATCATTTGTGCACCACATTTCCCAGGCCTAGTTTATGAGAATGTCATGTGGGACTATGTCAAAAGCCTTACTAAAATCAAGATATGTCACATCTACTGCTTCCCTCCTATCCACTAGCCAGTAACTCTGTCAAAGAAGGAAATTAGGTTGGTTTGATTTGTTCTTGACATATCCATGCTGGCTATTCCTTAAAACCCTATAATTCTCTAGGTGTTTACAAATGGATTGTTTAATAATTTGTTCCAGTAGCTTTCCAGATATTGAAGTTAGGCTGACTGGTCTATAACTCCCTGGATCCTCTTTGTTCCCCTTTTTAAAGATAGGTACTGTGCTTTCCCTTCTCCATTCCTCTGGGACCTCACCCATCCTCATCTAGGGACCAGACAGCCATAGTATTGTTTAACCCTAACTGTACCAAGCATAACCTAAGAGAAAAAGGACTTTGAAACAACAGTCTACAGTCTAGTCTGTCTTACCTAAGGCCCTACTGTGATGGTCTGTATCCCTGCATTCACACCTTTTACAGGACTACAATACATTTTGTACAAAGTATGCCTTGTGAGGTATCATTTGAAAATTCATAATTTGCTGATCATTAGAGTACTGGTAAAATATGTGTGGCAACATTGTGTAAAGATATAAGATTCCTCTGTAGGGTAATACTAAGACATGTTCCAAGTCTGGGGAGCAGCCATGAACCAGTTCCTCAGAGACAAAAGGCAAGCTGATGCCTCAGCCAGGTGTCAACAAAATCAAATGGACTATCACCTGGTTAAGTGGGCACTCTTCAGCAGGAAAGAGGGCATGGGCGAAAAATCTACATCTTGACAAAGAAACAGCTTGGAGTTCCCGTCCACACAGACTTTCTGTCTCCTGAATCTCAGCTGGAGATGCTTCTTGAAGAAGAGAAAGAACTATAAGAAGGCAAAGCATAAGAAGGGAGAGCAGACACCACAAATTATTCCTCTTTCTTGCTACTCACGGCATCCACGGCACCTGAAGAACAAAGGAAGCAACCAGGGGGAGGGATCCTGACTGGAAGAAATTCAGCTAGTAAGACTGTTGAAACATGTGGTGAGAGAGACCTTTGCTTTGAATTCACACTAGGTTGTTAAGTTAGGCCTTAGCTGCATTTTATTTTTTTAACCAATTCTGACTTGTATACCCCATTACTTGTATTCACTTAACATCTAGCTTTTGTAGTTAATAAAGTTATTTTATCTAAACCAGTGTGCTTGGACTGAAATGTTTGGGAAACTCCATTTGAGATAACAGGATTTGTGCATATTATTTTCTATTAATAAAATGATGGACTTTATATGAGCTTGTGTTGTCCAGGAGAGGGCTGGGCAGTACAAGACACACATTTCTGGGGGAAAGTCTGGGACTGGGAATTTGCTGGTGTTATCATGCAGTGTAATTCAAGAGTGGCTGCCCGTGCTACTCATACAGTATAGCTGGGAGTAATTTACATGCTGGAGGCTGTGTGTGAGCAGACCAGGAGTGGAGAACTGAGGGGACACAGCTGTCCATCAGTCCAGATTGTACCTGGGTATGTTACAGTGGGATAGTCAGCAGGATATATGCACAGCTTGTTATTTTAAATGAAGTTTACACTCTAAGCACTGGCCTAGCAATTTTAAGTGAGTCTCAAGTGTGGTGCCTGGAAACAGTCAAAGAGTGGTTCCAGTTTATTGTTTTCTGTTTGAATATTTCAGGTGAAGGAACTAGAAACAGTAAAGCACAAAAATGAGCGCCAGCAAAACAGCTGCAAAGCTACAGTTAGCCAGCTTGGAAGCAGAA